CTTGAGCCACCGCGCCCGGCCCTTTTTCTTTTTTTTTAAAGATGGAGTTTGCTCTTGCTGCTCAGGCTGGAGTGCAGTGGTGCGATGTTGGGTTGAAGCAGTCCTCCTGCCTCAGCCTCCTGAGTAACTGGGATTACTGGCATGTGCCACCACAACCAGCTAATTTTTGTATTTTTGGTAAAGACAGTTTCACCATGTTGGTCAGGCTGGTCCTGGACTCCTGACCTTAGGTGATCCACCTGTCTCACCCTCCCAAAGTGCTAGGATTACAGGCGTGAGCCACCGTGCCCACCTGTAAAATAAATTCTTTTGGCTCTTAATTTTTTTTTATTTTTATTTTATTTAAAAAGACTAGTCAAGTGCAGTAGTGAGAAGGGGGGAAAGAGTAGAACAAGGAGTTCTATCTGTAACTGACTGAACAATCAATTGAGATAACTCACTACCTTCGGACCAGCCGTGGCTCTTAATTTTAATGGTAGTGTCTATAATACTTTGACTTCCTCTTCCCTTTTATTTACAAAATTTTTAAATTGTTAAATATTTTGTGATTTTTTTTCCCCCTTTATTCTCTGATTCATGGCTTTGCTGTTTCTTTCATTCCTATGTGTAGGTTCAGTGGTCACCTCACAATGAGACTATTTTGGCTTCCAGTGGTACTGATCGCAGACTGAATGTCTGGGATTTAAGGTAATTCATGTATTCATTACTCTGTATATATAATTATTTCCTTTGTTGACACTTTGCAAAGGTAATCTGTTTTAACTTTTTAAATTATGCTTTTGTGCTAGTAAAATTGGAGAAGAACAATCACCAGAAGATGCAGAAGACGGGCCACCAGAGTTGTTGGTATGTTACAAGCATTGGACAGTACTGAAATAGTCTATAATTTAATGTCCTCTCTCTGTATTTGACATCTTTATTTTCTTCCTTCTTACAGTTTATTCATGGTGGTCACACTGCCAAGATATCTGATTTCTCCTGGAATCCCAATGAGCCTTGGGTGATTTGTTCTGTATCAGAAGATAATATCATGCAAGTGTGGCAAATGGTAAGGGTCATTTATTTGGGGGAGGTGAGATGAGAAAGCCATTGAATCAATTTACATTTATATGTTTTATGATTACAGCTACCATCTGTGTTCATTTTACTCCCAGGTGTGATTTTAAGGCTTGTCTATACTTTGTCATTTTTGACTGCCTACTCGCATTTGGTTATCCCACTGGTATTTTAAATTCAGCTAAACAAAACTGATCCTCTCTCCCACTTCTCTTTTTCTCCTGTTTCCTCCTCCTTTCTTTATTTTTGTTTTGTTTTGCTTTGATTTTGAGACAGAGTTTAGCTCTTGTTGCCCAGGCTGGAATGCAATGGTGCTCACCGCAACCTCTGCCTCCTTGGTTCAAGTGATTCTCTTGTATCAGCCTTCCAAGTAGCTGGATTACAGGAACCTGCCACCACACGTGGCTAATTTTGTATTTTTGGTAGAGACGGGATTTCTCCATGTTGTTCAGGCTGGTCTCGGAATTCCTGACCTCAAGTGATGTGCCCACCTTGGCCTCCCAAAATGCTAGGATTTTCTTCTTTTCTTAACATGGCTCCAATATTTTCCCAGCTAACCAGACTTGAAAACTCAAGAATTTTTCATGTCCTTCACCTTTAGTTCTAGTTCATTTCCAAATTTCATACCATCTATCTGCAGTGTTTCTCCTATCTTTCCTAATCATCTTACAAGTACAAATTTACATACCCAAAGGAGGTGTGTCATATCATAGCATCAAATACTACCATTTCTCCATGAAACCTAGCTAGATTTCAAAAATATTCCCTATCTCTACCTCAAAGAAGGTAGTCACCCTCCTCAAATTTTCAAAGCACTTCAGTTTAATAAAAATAACTGATGTCTCATATTAATATTAAAAAACAGTTACATTCTGGAGATAGATGGTGGTTATGGTTATACAACGTGAGTGTACTTAATGCCACTGAACTGAACACCTAAAATAGCTAAGCTGTTGAATTCTATGTTATATGAAGTTTACCACAGTTTCAGGGTGGAAGAGAAATTCTTGCTCTTTTGTCCAGGCTGGGGTGCAGTGGTGCAGCTCACTGCAGCTTCCACTTACCAAGCTAAAGTGATCCTCCTACCTCAGCCTCCCTAGTAACTGGGACCACAGGTATGTACTACCCGGCCTGGTTAATTTTTTAAGATTTTGTAGAGATGGAGTTTGCCATGTTTCCCAGGCTGGTCTTGAACTTGTGAGTTCAGGGAATTTGCCCACCTCCCAGAGTGCTGGGATTACAGATGTGAGCCTGGCCCACAATTTTTTTTTTTTAGGAATTGCATAACTTGATGGTTGTCTGGTAAATGCAAATAATTCAGAAGAAACTATAGATCTAGTACCAGAATAATTTTTGACTCAGCATGAGGAGGGGGGATATTTTTAGTCAATACTTTCGTAAAATGGAATAGCACTATTAATTGAAGACAGAAATAAAATGTTTGTGGCCTGCCAGATTAACAGATTGTACTACATCCATACTTATCTTTTACCTCCAAATACCATCATAATATCTATACTTTGTAATATTACTATCAGCTTATCAAAAAGAAAGATGATTAGGGACTGTGCTCAGTGGGTCACACCTGTAATCCAAATACTTTGGGAGGCCTAGGCGGGAGGATCACTTGAGGCCAGAAGTTCTAGACTAGCCTGGGCAACAAAGTGAGACCCTGTCTCTTAAAAAAAATCAAAAAATTAGCTGGGCGTGGTGGCTCACGCCTGTAATCCCAGCACTCTGGGGGGCCGAGGCAGGCAGATCACAAGGTCAGGGGTTCAAGACCAGCCTAACCAACATAGTTAAACCCAGTCTCTACTTAAAAATAACAAAAATTAGTCGGTCGTGGTGGCATGTGCATGTGGTCCCAGCTACTTGGGAGGCCTAGGCAGGAGGTTACCTTGAGCCGGGCGGTGGAGGCTGCTGTGAGTCATGATGGCATGTGCGTTTAGTCCCTGCTCTTTGGGAGGCTGAGACAGGAGGATCCCCTGAGCCCAAAAGTTTGAGGCTACAGCTAGCTGTGATCACACCACTGCACTCCAGCCTGGATAACAAAGTGAGACCTTGTCTGTAAGAGCAAGAAAGAAGTAGGGTTAGGCTTATAAGATATTCATGTCATGCTGCTAATAGGGGAAAGCAGACTGAAGAATAGCATGATGGTATTCCTCATTTTAAAAATTTTGTAGGCCGGGCGTGGTGGCTCAAGCCTGTAATCCCAGCACTTTGGGAGGCTGAGGCGGGTGGATCACGAGGTCAAGAGATCGAGACCATCCTGGTCAACATGGTGAAACCCCGTCTCTACTAAAAATACAAAAAATTAGCTGGGCATGGTGGCACGTGCCTGTAGTCCCAGCTACTCAGGAGGCTGAGGCAGGAGAATTGCCTGAACCCAGGAGACAGAGGTTGTGGTGAGCCGAGATCGCGCCATTGCACTCCAGCCTGGGTAACAAGAGCGAGACTCTGTCTCAAAAAAAAAAAAAATTTTGTGTATCTAGGCTATATTTAGAGAGCTGTTTGCTAGCCAGGCTCATGCCTGTAATTCCATTACACCTATAATCCCAACACTTTGGGAAGCCGAGGTGAGCGGATCATGTGAGGTTAAGAGTTCGAGACCAGCCTGACCGACATGGAGAAACCTCATCTCTAAAAATACAAAATTAGCTGGGTGTGGTGGCGGGCACCTGTAATCCCAGCTACTCAGGAGGCTGAGGCAGGAGAGTCGATTAAACCCGGGAGGCAGAGGTTGTGGTGAGCCGAGATCTCGCCTTTACTCTCCAGAGCCTGGGCAACAACAGTGAAATTGTCTCCAAAAAAAAGCTGTTTGGTAAAATGTTGTTGGTTTCTTTTTACCTTTCTGTATTGTGGTTTTTTTGTTTTACAAAAAAGGTATGTTAAATGTGTAACAAGAAAACAGAAAATTCGCCTCACTCTCTAATAAATCCATTCAGTATTAATACAAAAATTTAATAGCTGGGCATGGTGACACACGCCTGTAGTCCCAGCTCATTGTGGGCATGGCATGAGCCCAGGAGGCAGAGGTTGCAGTGAGCTAAGATGGCACCGCTGCATTCCAGCCTGGGTGACAGAGGGAGACCCTGTCTCAAAAAAAAAAAAGAAAAAATTAAGTTCAAGGTTAAACTAGATCCCTGCAAGGCCATCACCCCCATTCCGGGTTGTTAACTTTATTTGGTGTTTTTAACATTGTGGTAGATTAAGTAAATATTTGGTCTTTGTCCCACTTCTTGGCACAGAGCTCCTCAAAAACACTTGGAGTTCGCAGAGTGCTAGCAGTGTCTGTCATTCCTAATGATCCACTTTGGACCACACCTGAGTTTGTTCTACTGTAGGGTGACTTTTGTGGGTCCCTTAGATAGCCTCATGGTGGATTTAATCAGAAAGGCCAAACACTTGATTTGAGAATTAAAACTTGTTGGCACCACTCATCAACCTTGGGATCACAGGGCTAGACATTGAGCTCTGTAAAAACTCTTAATTTGGGCTGGACATGGTGTCTCACACATGTAATCCCAGCACGTTGGGAAGCTGAGGCAGGCAGATCACATGAGGTCAGGAGTTCGAGACCAGCCTGACCAACATGGAGAAACCCCATCTCTACTAAAAATATAAAATTAGCCGGGCTTGATGGCACATGCCTGTAGTTCCAGCTACTTGGGAGGCTGATGCAGGAGAATCCCTTGAACCTGGGAGGCAGAGGGTGTGGTGGGTGGAGGTTGCAGTGAGCAGAGATCTGAGCTATTGTGCTCCAGCCTGGGGCAAGAAGAGTGAGCCTCTGTCTTTTAAAAAAAAAAAAAAACTAATTTGCTGAGCTTCCAGGTTGCTGAACAACTCATTAACATGCTGGGAGAGTGGCACGCCTGGAGACTTCATAGAAACACTGCAACCCCTCCCCACCTTGGCCTATGCATATCTTTCATGTGGTTCCTCAATTGCATCCTTTATTTAAAAAATAGTAATAGTAAAAAAGCTTCTGGATTCTATGAGTCATTCCATCAAATTTTTAGACCTGAGGAAGCAGTAGTGAGAACCCTGAAATTTGTAGCCAAATGGGATACAGTGTGTAGGTAGCCTGGTGCCAAGGACTTGCAACTGGCCTCTGAAGTAGGGACAGTCTTGTCCAAAGCTAACTTCAGGTAGTGTCAGAATAGAATTGACTTGTACTCCCATTTCAAGTGTGCAGTTCAGTAGTCTTCAGTGTATTTACAGTTGTGCAACTATCACCACAGTCAATTTGAGAAAATTCATTTTAAAAAGAAACCGTGTACCCATTAGCCATCATTTCTTCTTTCTCTCATATTCCCCCAGCCCTAAGCAGCCACCAATCTGGATTTGCCTATTTTGGACACCTTATATAAATAAAATCATAACATATGTATGTAACTGGTTTTTTTTTGTTGTTTTTTTTGGGGGTGGAGTGGGGCACACAGTCTCACTTTGCCGCCCAGGCTGGAGTGTAGTGGTGCAGCCTTGGCTCACTACAACCTCCACCTTCCAGCTTCAATCAATTCGCATGCCTCAGCCTTCCAAGTAGTTGGGACCACGGGTGTGCACCACCACACCTGGCTAATTTTTGTATTTGTAGTAGAGATGAGGTTTCACCATGTTGGTCCGGCTGATCTCAAACTCCTGACCTGATGTGATCCATCTGCCTTGGCCTCCCAAAGTGCTGGGGTTACAGGCATGAACCACCGTACCTGGCCTGACTGGCTTTTTATTGCCAAATAATATTCCCTTATATTGGATTTGATATATTATTTATCCATTTGTTAGTTGATTAATATTTGGATTGTTTTTACTTTTTGGTTCTTATTAATAATGTCTGGTTAGGCCAGGCGCAGTGACTCACTCACGCCTATAATCCTAGCACTTTGGGAGGCCAACGTGGGCAGATCACTTGAGGTCAGGAGTTTGAGACCGGTCTGGCCAACATGGTGAAACCCCATCTCTACTAACAATACAAAATAAGCCAGGCATAGTGGCAAGCACCTGTAATCCTGTAATTACAGCAACTCGGGAGTCAGGCAGGAGAATTGCTTGAACCCAGGAGGCAGGGGTTGCAGTGAGCTGAGATTTACGCCATTGCACTCCAGCCGGTCAACAGAGTAAGATTCCATCTCAAATGATTATAATGTCTGGTTAAAGAACTCAAGAATGTTGGTTATGAAGACAAATAGTATCCACACTTCAGTCTTGTGGGAATGTCCTAATCAGGGGCCTGTGGACCAGCTGTCTATTTTTATTGGAATATGGTCATGCTAATTAATATTTTATACCCATTGTAGGTTGCTTTCATCCAACAACAGCAGAGTTGAATAGTTGTAACAGACTTTGTGGCCCAAAAGCTATATTTATTGTCTGGTTCCCTGGCCTAATCTGTTGTTGAAACCTTGACTTTATGAAGTCTTCATGTTTACTAAATTCTTTTTCTTGTTTTTGGGCAGGCAGAGAACATTTATAATGATGAAGACCCTGAAGGAAGCGTGGATCCAGAAGGACAAGGGTCCTAGATATATATGTCTTTACTTCTTGTGATTTTAGACTCCCCTTTTTTCTTCTCAACCCTGAGAGTGATTTAACACTGGTTTTGAGACACAGACTTTGTTCAGCTGTCCCTCTATATAATAGGTACCACCAGTATGCTATTAGCCCAAACAGTGGCTGTTTTCTAAATATTAATGGGGGAGGGGGCTTGATTCAGCAAAGCCACAGGCTTACTTTGAAATTTTCTTCAGGAATTTTCTAGTAACAAACCCAGGTCTAAAGTAGCTACAGAAAGGGGAATATTATGTGTGATTATTTTTCTTATGCTGTATCCCCAAGTTTTTCAGACTCATTTAAGTAAATGCTAGAATGAATAAGGAATAGAGCCAAATGAGATGAAGTAGGCGTCTGAGCCATGAAGTATAAATACTGAAACTTGTCACTTTTATTCAGGAAATAGGGGAGATTCAAGTCATATAGATTCCTACTCAAATCTTGACACCTGACTTTGCAGGATGCACATTTTCATACGTAGACCAGTTTCCTCTTGGTTTCTTCAGTTAAGTCAAAACTACATGTTCTCTTTCCCCATATATTTTTGCTCGTTAGTGTATTTCTTGAGCTGTTTTCATGTTGTTTCTTTCCTTTCTGTGAAATGGTGTTGTTTTTGTTTTTGTTTTTTTTAACTTGGGACCACCAAGTTGTAAAGATGTATGTTTTTACCTGACAGTTATGCCACAGGTAGACTCTCAAGTTGAGAAGAGTGAATCAATAACTTGTATTTGTTTTAAAAATTAAATTAATCCTTGATAAAAGTTGCTTTTTTTTTTAGGAGTTAGTCTTTGACCACTAGTTTGATGCCATCTCCATTTTGGGTGACCTGTTTCACCAGCAGGCCTGTTACTCTCCATGACTAACTGTGTAAGTGCTTAAAATGGAATAAATTGCTTTTCTACATAACCCCATGCTGATGGGTTTTATTTAGTTTAAAACATCCATCAAACACCAGTCTCTGGCTTTAGAAGAGTCATTCAGGTGAAAGACATAAAACAGTGAATCAGAGGTGGCACAGATTAGTCTTTGTTAAGGTAACATTTCTTTGAAGTCCACCTCTAAAGAACTACAAGGGCTTTCAAGAGTGTCAAAGGCAGTTTGGTAGAGAGAATTTAAGGCAAAATTTAAATTTGGAAAAGGTGCTTGAACCTCCCAGCATGTTTGTCACTCGGGCCTTTACTTAGAAGTTAGAAATAATAGGCTTTAACCGCCGGGCGCGGTGGCTCAAGCCTGTAATCCCAGCACTTTGGGAGGCCGAGGCGGGTGGATCACAAGGTCAAGAGATCGAGACCATCCTGGTCAACATGGTGAAACCCCGTCTCTACTAAAAATGCAAAAAATTAGCTGGGCATGGTGGCGCGTGTCTGTAGTCCCAGCTACTCAGGAGGCTGAGGCAGGAGAATTGCCTGAACCCGGGAGGCGGAGGTTGCGGTGAGCCGAGATCGCGCCATTGCACTCCAGCCTGGGCAACAAGAGCGAAACTCCGTCTCAAAAAAAAAAAAAAAAAAAAGAAATAATAGGCTTTGAAAGCCTTTATCACCAGATGCAATAACCAGATAAAATGTCTGGTTCTTTCCAGTCACTTAGTTTTGTTGTTGTTTTTTAACTGAGCAGATCATGCTGACCCAAAACCACTTTCATGAGTTAAGATCTTTGGGAAAATCTGAATAGCCGTAACCGTTAGGTTCAAATCTCTATTGCTTTCTTTCCTTTAAGTCTAGTTGTTTCAGAGTATAGTGAAAATGACCCTGACACAATTTTTTTTTTTGAGACAGAGTTTCGCTCTTGTTGCCCAGGATTGCAGTGGCATGATCTCGGCTCACCGCAACCTCTGCCTTCCAGGTTCAAGCAATTCTCCTGCCTCATCCTCCCAAGTATCTGGGATTACAGGGATGCGCCACCACGCCCAGCTAATTTTGTATTTTTAGTAAAGACACGGTGTCTCCGTGTTAGTCAGGTTAGTGTCAAACTTCCAACCTTAGGTGATCCACCCTCCTCCGCCTCCCAAAGTGCTGGGATTACAGGTGTGAGCCACCACACCCGGCCACCTTGACACAATTTTAAGAGTAAACTATTTGAGTCAGCATATCCTTTAACAAAAAGTAAACTTTGTGAAAGTATTCATTTAATTTCTAACACTGACTGGCACAAAAGAATGCAAATTGTAAACCCATGTGCAATGGAAATTGGCTATCTTTTTGACTCCACATGTGCCGCCCCTCAATGTTTTTGGTTTGGGTCAACATAAACGTTCTTTAAAATACTCCAAGATGTGTCCATACATTGATCCTTTACTCAGCACATATGTATATGAGGATTGCTGCTGGAAGACAGAAGGCTTATTTTTCCTTTCCTTGATGCACTGAGATTAGTACCAACAGCAGATGAAATAGAATCCAGCAGAGTTGTCTGGTGTTCTGCCTCTGGCCAACTCCAGAATCTTTTTAAGCAGGTCAGCCAGTATTTGCAACTTTCACAGGATGATTGCTTGCCAAGTTTCTGGCACTCTTGTCTGTTTGGAAGAGTACGTCCAAAGGGTACTTAGTGATCTTCTAAAAAGTGTTCTGGTGTTTTTGGGTTACAGATTTGGCCATATGTTTCTAAACAGCCCCTGTAAGGTTGAAAGAGAAAAAGTAAGTTTATACTTTCTGCAAGTTAAAATAATACAGTAGAAAGTTTGTAACATCTGAAGTTTAGTTAGTGCAGGCTTTGTTGAGGAGATTGTTACAGTGATTTTTGCATGATCAGGAATGACTTTCCCCTAGCAAATATTTGGATGCCTCCTATTTATGAAATAGAATGAATGGTAACCTATGTGATGGTGATGGGTGGGATAGCTACACGTTTTCTCTGCTAGGTTAACTTCTTACAGGTATTGTTACAAAGCCTGAAATCCTGTAATTTCGGTTCTTTGGATTAGTCATTGTCTTTTCCAGATGGTACTTTTAATCTGATCCACACAAATGCATTTAGCAGATCATTGTATTCAATTGCAAGGTTATAATTTCCCAAACATTAAGCATAGTGTCAGTCATATGTGGATTAAAACACAGTATAGGCTATGCTTGGTGACTCAAGCCTGTAATCCCAGCATTTTGGGAGGCCGAGGTAGGCGGCTCACCTGAGGTCAGGCGTTCAAGAACAGCCTGGCCAACATGGTGAAACCCCATCTCTACCAAAAATAAAAAATTAACTGAATGTGGTGGCACATGCTTGTAGTCCCAGCTACTCTGGAGACTTAAGACAGAATTGCTTGAACCTGGGAGGCAGGTTACAGTGAGCTGAGATCATGCTACTGCACTCCAGCCTGGGCAACAAGAGTGAGACTCTGACAAAAAAAAAAAAAAAAAAAAGTATAAGAAAATCCCTGAGGCCTGGCATGGTGGCCCATGCCTGTAGTCCCAGCATTTTGGGAGACCAAGGCGGGCAGATTACTTGAGGCTAAGAAATGGAGACCAGCCTGGCCAACATGGTGAAACCCTGTCTACTAAAAATACAAAAAAATTAGCTGAGTGTGGTGGTGTGCACCTGTAATCCCAGCTACTTAGGCTGAGGCAGGAATACCACTTGAACCCAGGAAGGGTAATTGCAGTTAGCCCAGATCATGCCGCTACTCCAGCCTGGGCAACATAGCAAGACCCCCCATCTCTACTAAATAAAATTTTAAAAGAAAATCCTAGAACATTAGAGCAACAATTAAAATAGTTGCTTGTGAATTTGATGTAAATTTAAGAAATAAAATTTACGAACATCTCTGCTTCTACCCAAAACCACAGTGTTTGAATATTACATAAGGAAATTAATGGATAATGTTGATTGTTTTTGATAACACAACTGCCTGCTCTTGTAAGGAAGCTGAAAATAGCATGTAGGTAGGGTAGGGTTAGGAAAGTGTGCCCAAAGCCTAGATGCCACAGAATTCCTGGTGATAATAAGGCATATTTTGAGTCCTACTAGAAACTGAAACATTCCAAATGAACTTTTGAATGCCTGACCCAGGTATTTTGGAGGTACGAGTTATCCCCTTGTCATTAGGCACCCTTAGGGTTTTTTCGTTTGTTGTTTTTGAGACAGTCTCACTGTCAACCAGACTGGTGTGCAGTGACACAATCTCGAGTCACTGCAACCTCTGCCTCCTGGTTCAAGCCATTCTCCTGCCTCAGCCTCCCAAGTAGCTGGAATTACAGGCGCCCACCACTACACCAGGTTAATGTTTTTATCTTTAGTGGAGACGAGGTTTTGCCATGTTGGCCAGGCTGGTCTCAAACTCCTGACCTCAGGTAATCCACCCACCTCAGCACCCCCCACGTGCTGGGATTATAGGTGTGAGCCACTGTGCCAGACCTGTTTTTATTTTTTTAGGCATTAATTAGTATTGTTAAGCTCGGAAAGCAGTAACAATGCAAATATCACTCTTCTCTCTACAAGGATCACCTTGAGACTTTGTCTCCATTCCACCTGCCTGAGAAGTGGGAGCATCAGCCTGTTCCAGGTTCTTGGGTAGCATAGCCCTTTAATAAAAGAGAGCCATTTTCCATGTGTTCGTGGATAAGCACACTTTGAAAATCATTTCCCAAATCCATTTTTTGTTTTTGACTCTAAAGTAAAATTTCCCCTAACCCTCCCCACCATCCCGTCAGCCAGTGTTGGATGAAATTTGTGTAGCCGCAGAAACTGACTTATAAGTAGAGAGCTCTTCAGCAAGACTGAGCCTTAGCTGCTCCATCTCTTTGTTTTTCTGTTGCTGGAGTTGCACCCCACTTCTTAACTGCTTCTGGCGTTCTTCCATTTCCTCCAGCTGTTCCTGCATGAGATGGCCAAGAACATTTCTAATGAACGAAACAATAAAAACCTGATATTGTCCACTCTTATTTATAAAAAACACTTGTTCATTGTTTAATCTTCATAGTAGTATTGAGGCTGGTATTTATATGATAGGTTCCAAAACAGGTTCAGAGAGGTTGTGTCTTGGAAAAAAGTGACAATGCTTTTGAAAATGGTGACATCATAAAAGGAATCTTGTATGTTAGCCACAACTTGCTTAATAGAATTCTGAGAGGGTGATCAGGCACTCAGAGGGAGTTTTCAGTATTACAATCTTAACTTGTCATTGAGGAGGATTTTGGTTGTGAAGTGAGTTGAGAGTTTCATATACCTCTCCATATGGCAAGTTTCTTTTTGTTAAGATAATTGATTTTTTGTTTGTTTTTAAGTATATGTGCTGATGAGGTGAGCATGATAATTGGTAGTTTTTTATATATACTAAAGTTGAAATTAAGTCTTTATGGTCAGGCGCGATGGCTCACGCCTATAATCCCAGCACTTTGGGAGGCCAAGGTGGGCGGATCCCTAGGTCAAGAGATCGAGACCATCCTGGCCAACATGGTGAACCCCATCTCTAAAAAAAAAATTAAAAGTCTTTGTGGCAACAATTATTAAATATTGGCTAGAATTCTAGAAAAGTTAGAAAATAATTGGCTTGCTGGGCACTGGGGCTCACACCTGTAATCCCAGCACTTTGGGAGACCAAGGTGGGTGGATCACCTGAGGTCAGGAGCAAGACCAGCCTGGCCAACATTGCAAAACCCCCATCTCTACTAAAAATGCAAAATGTGGTGGCGGGGGCCTGTAATCCCAGCTACTCAGGAGGCTAGGAGGCACGAGAATTGCTTGAACCTGGGAGGCAGAGGTTGCAGTGAGCCAAGATCGCCATTGCACTCAGCCTGGGCAACAAGACCAAATCTGAGAGGGGAAAAAAAAATAATAATTGGCTTCTTTAAGGAAAAAGTTTTTGTTTCCAAAGTTCCTAAAAGATAATTTCTATTTAGTACTTAACTTCATGTGCAAATTGATGCTTTAGTGAGGGTGTTGGCTATCCTAGTTAATTTTCTGCATATTTTAATTTTTTT